ATAGAAGAAGAATAGAGGTTTTGGAATAAAGATAGAATAAAGTTATACTTTTATAAAAATAAAAAAAAGATACTAGTACGGGGTAATTATATTATTAAATTCCATATTTACTTTTGCTATTTATTGAGAATATATATCTCTCAGGGGAAAGTATTACTTAGTATTTCTAGGAAATAATAATTTAATAATAATATTATTAAAAAAACCAAACCTAATATATTTAAATATATCGAAATAAGGTAATTATTTTTATATTAAAAATTAAATTATAGTATTACTAGATATAAAGCTATTTTAGTTTATAGACTAGGCTATATATAGAGATCCGAGGATATTAAAGCTTACTCGAATTACTTATAGAATAGCTATATAAATAGCTAGTAATATAATAAGATAGTATTATGCCTTACCTAATTAGATTAATAATAAAGCCCTTTATTATAGCAGATATATAATATCTGTTTTTTAAGGTATTATATAGCCAGAGGGAAAAGGCATATAACTATATAATCCCCAGGTTCTTGAAATTAACTAGAAATTAGTTAATTAGAAATAAGTAAATATTGCTTTTTATATTTCTAATTTAATTAGCTACTAGAGTAATAAGATTCTCGATATAACTAATTTAATAATACTAGGAAATCCAGATAGTCTCTTACTACTTGTATATTTTCCCCTTGCCCTTAGTAAATTATAGAGAGCTTTTACTAATATTAGGCCTAGCTACCTCAAGAGATCCAGAGCCTTTATTCTGAGTTTCCTGAACTACTAGTGCTACCGACCCCGAGCTTTTGCCCTGGATCTCTTATATAGCTACCTAAAAGGCTTCCTATATAGTAGATATTAAGCTTTTGCTCTTATTCTACTAAATAACTAGCTCGCCAAGCCCCCCCTTAACTGCCTTGCCTTGAGAATCTCCTAAAAGGAAAGAGAGTATCTTTATATTTAGCTTCTCAAGATTCTTTATATAGATTTCGGTAAGACTTTATTTTTTAATTTCAAATTCCTCTCTTATAGCTTTCAAAAGCCGTACTCTCTTATTAAGCCTATCTATATAGGTATTGCTTTCTTTAATTACTATATTCCTCTCCTTTTTAAAGCTTTGTTTTCGTACCTTAAATTACTTCTTTTCCCTCTCAAGATCTGCTAGCTCCTTTTTTAATATATACTAATACCTATTAATATAACCTTTTATTATAGACTCCCTTAGTTACTTATATTATTTATTGAATATCTCGTTAAAGGGCTTTTCGGGATTACTGGCTAGAGTAGGCTTAGTAACTAAAGTAGGCTCAGTAACTAGAATAGGCTTAGTAACTAGAGTGGGCTTACTAGCTAGAGTGGGCTTACTAGCTAGAGTTTTAGTAGCTAGAGTATATAGAGACTTAGATCTCTTATGGTTCTCTTAATAGATAATATTAAGTTATCTACTAGTATTTTAATACTAATACTGCTCCTTTTTAGACATATAATTATTTCTAATTATATTACTATTAAAGTTATTGGTATTAAGGGTTTTTAATAAGTTATTAGTATTAGGGGTTATTATTAAATTAACTATTGGCCCTTTATATAGTTAATAATCCTATAGAGGCCACTTTTTTTTAACGGAAATAAGGAAGCAGAGTTTGGGCTCTTAATGATTTATACTAGGACATATCTTCTTTATATATTTAAGGAACTATTTAAAAGTGCGATTTTCTCTAAATAGAACCGGGAAGTCCGGAACTTTGGAGCAGGTAACCCTACTAGTAAGGTAGCCTATAGTTAGGCTTTAATCCTCAAGGTCAAGTTTATAGTATTTAGCTCTTCTAATACCTTTCCAGATATTAGATTCTTAGAGGCAATTAAGTACCTAGCTACTGAGCCTTACGAATGTCTCGTAAGAATTGAGAAAAAATGGGAGTTTTAAAAGGGCAGTCTACTTAAACGGCTTCCCAAGGTAGCCGATATAGTAATAGATAGTTATTAATAAGCCTATTAGTAAAGGCTTATTAGTAGGGTTATGGCCATATCTACTAGTTAGCCCTTCTTTATTATGCTTTCTCTTATTATCTTTCTTTGCTTTTAACTCTTACTAACTATAAGCCTTAGTCAAAGTTCTTCCCTGGAGCCTCGATTTCTTCTTCTTCTTCCTAGCAGAGATAAGATCATCTTCCTATATACTACGAAGAGTATTCCTAGTAATAGTTCTTTAGAGACTTTCTTTCTTCTTCCTTACCCGCTCCTCCTTTCCCTCCTTCTCCCTCTCCTCCTTATTCTTTTAGAACTTGGCCTAATAGATATACTAATTTCTAGTACCCACCTCTTTAGTACTATTATTATCGTCATTCCTCTTATTATTCTTGGAAGGGCGAGAGGCAAGAGGCTTTGGCTTTGGCTTATAGGCCTTCTGTGGATACTCCTCCTCTGAGGTGAATTCGGTCGGGCTTGAGGAGGGAAAGATAGTACTATAGCGGCTATAAAAAGGGCCAATACCCTTCTGCTTTTGGTACTTTTTATAGTAGGCCATAATATTATAATATATAAAGTCTTAGATAAAGGCAGTTTTAAAGAGATTAGATTAAGAATAGGAGTAAAAGGAAATAAAGATAGTAATCTAGGGAATAAGAATATAGTAGGAAAACCCTTTTATATTAAAGAATTAGTAGGACTATCTATTTCTATTTTGGGTATAGATTCATATTGAGTTATCCTATAGTATATCTTTACTTATTACTACCGGTTTCGGATACGCCTCTTACTAACCAGCGACTCTATATATATCCTTATTTATTACTACCGGTTTCGGATATACCTCCTGCCGGCCGGCTACTCCAAGTATATCCTTATTCGGTACTACCGGTTTCGGATACACCTCCCATAAACCAGTGACTTCGTATATCTTAACTTATTTTTGCCGGTTTCGGATATGCCTTCTACTAACTAGCTATTCCAAGTATATCCTCTATAACAAATTCTCTAATCCGATATAATTCCGTCTTTCTATATATACCTTATATATACAAAGCTAGTTATATATTAGTAAGAGCAGAGAGAAGGGGCAAAGAGATATATAAGTAGTAGTACGGGGCTAGTATAACCTTATAAGAATAATTCAGAAGTATTATAGTTAATTATATTATAAATTATCTATACTTAGAAATATGATTTAATTACATATATAAGTCTTATAATAGATAGTAATAAAGGGACTTAAGTTAGGTATGGTTATATATGCAAAATGCGGTATTTTGGTTGCGGGCGATTTTTGGTAGGATACATACGTGCCACAAATCAGACATTGAAAACCGGATTCGAAAATCGCTTGATCACTTGATCCTTACGGCTTTCCGTAGCTGGATTGCAACTGGCCCAAAAAATATGCCCAACAAATGTTGCGGTGAAGGCTGATCTGACTGACATTCCATCTCGAATAATCCACGCACACGTGGCGAGTTGCTGCTTTCAGTCGCGCCCATCTTACAATTGAACGCTTTCGTCATAATCAACTTTTATACATACTATCTCTCCCGACAAGAAGAGACGAACCCTCAGATTTCCAGTTCACATTGTTCGCCAACATCCAGGCCTTAGCACAATTCCACAGCAGGCTTATGGTTTGTCTGGGAGGATGGAGCATATAGAGATTGAAATATTGAAGACTCAGGGAGCATGTTCATTCGGTTGGAGACACTTTCAGGCCTCATGTTCTGCAGATTCAACAATTTGCAGCCCCGAGAGAGAGAGAGACATTTCTGATGTGGGCACAGAATCTTCGATTCTTGACTGTCATTGAGCAGCCTAACCTTGGGAAGATGGAATCCACCGAGAAGCCAATGAAAGATTATCGTTCAATTATTGTTCTGCTTGTCTTCATTCGACTCACCGAGCTCGAATTGGCCAGACGTGAGAAGTCCCCTGCTGTCCGAGTTATTCGACCGTAATATCTTCCTCTTTCCTCTTCCCAGAAACCCAGAGAGCTTGGGTTAATCGTTTCGTGCATAATTAGATGATAAGATGATATTCTAACACTCGTGTAACGCCCCGATTGAGTCTAAGGAGCACAAAAAATCATGATAGTATGGGGCTTCCTCATCGCTGTAATGTCTCCTTCCAAAATACAGATCTGTATGCCCCGAGCTACCATCAACTACGGAAGGTGGATCATCGCGGATAAATGGGCAGAGTTCCCCCCTCTAAATTGCAGATGCTCTGAAGAAGATCGCTGGTATAGCCAGCGTAGATGTCTCTGACAGTAGTCTGCTTCACCACTATTGCTAGTCCATGAATCACATAGCCTCTTATCACAAGCTTTCTCAAAAAAACCTCGCCGAATTTTCCCTTAACTTCGTCTAGACGCTTCAAAAAAGCATCAAGAACTGTCCCCTTCTACAAGAACTTTCCTATAGGGCGATATAACAGTGGCGCTTCAATTACTGCTTAACTCTAGTTGGATGCCCTGGGTTTGGTAGTCAGTAGCCTTCTCCACTTCACTTTTCGTGTCTCTCCTCCCGGTAAAAACTGTCCTCAACGATCCAGAGAAGAGAATTGGCTATGTCACCTTACATGAACCAGCAAGGTACTTATATTCTTCTCCAGTCTGGGAAAGCGGCAATCTTCTAAAGAATCGACTCGCGACTCTCAATAATGCAACCGGCCTGTCGCCTTCGTTATTCTTCCCCGAGCTACAGTTCCGAAAAAGCTGCACAATACTGCGCCAGTGTCGGCAGATTAGTTAACACGAAGTTTTCGCATTGTTTGCTTTAATCTCTGTGTGCAATCTCACCAACAACAAAATATAGATCGGAAAGCGTAGCGATTCAATGTCCAGATAGTGAGGGATCTAATGATTATATGGAGCCTTTAAGAGATATATATTTGTAACGAGGCATCAAACTCGCCTTTTTGAGACGCCACGACAGCAGTTGGTAGATTTCATAATTAGTGGAGAAGCAAGTTTGAAACTTTAACTGCCGTTTGATATATCAGCTAGTCATTTTGGGGGGGAATTCAGAAGGGAGATGTTTAATTTTGTATAACTTTGCCCTAATGAAAGCATCCTTGACAGCCTCCATCGAATCTCTCCGATGCAACTTAAATAACCCCCATCAATATTCGATTTATATGCTTAAAAATTTAACAAAATAATGACTGTGTTGGTTTACTTCCGACCATCAACTTGTTTTTCGTCAACGCGATGCTGTTTCACTTCCTTGAACACAGTTTTATCTTCCTGAGTTTTCCCCGGTATTTCCTCTACCTCCTCTACCTCAACATTCTTGGTTTTCCCTTCCCTAACACTCTCCTCTTCCATGCATATACCATACTGCTCTTTCGGGTCGATAATAAGGTTGGAGGTGACTGCATCCCGCCACCTCAGCCAAACCTCGGTTTGTGGCAAAAGGTCCGCTTTCTCTACCCAACTGCCATTGCCAAATTTCCTTAGCAAATATGCATATACATGAGTCCTTGTTGGCATTGCCATCTCCTCGACCAGTTCAAGCTGTTCAAAGCAGGCTTTCGCGTTCAGATTCTGTCCCAGTATAACATTTACTTGGCCCATCGTATTCAACACAATGAAAGCCAACTGATCAATGGTGGTCCCATTCGGAATAACGATTAAGAAGTAGAGCAACAGCGCCAAACTCCCAATCCTCATGCCTACACAAAGGCGTTCAACTAATTCTCCTTCTTTCTGTTCAAGCCCTTGCCCTGTCCACTTTACCACATCTTTCCTACTCCCTTGTAGGATAAAGCAAGAATTTCGTCTTCCAAGAACGTATATTGCATCTGAATGACCTGCTTGGAAGGCTTTCCATATTGCTGGCTGCAGGCAGTACCTCTCCCCTACTCTCAAAATGATACTCCACGCTGTAAGAAGAACGCAAGCCGACAAGCCAATCCAGGTCGTCTCTCCAAGGACCAGAGAAAATATCAAGATCGCAGCGAACACCACCCAGCTTGCTACTGCCGCGATGCTCAGCATATTAACATTGCTTCGACTTCCGTCGGTCGAGCGGATCTGGTAGACCTTACAAGAGCCATCTCGCAAGAATTTGTTGCGACTAATACTCTGCACAAGCCTCATATTTCTTAGTGGTGCCGTGGTACATCCTCGAGGTGAGAAATATGAAAAGCCCGTTGCTTCTAAAAGAGCATAGTTTGTACGGATATAGGATTGCAATCCAGCTACGGGAGCTGCCGTTAGGCATTCACATAAAGAGCGTTGCATAAGACGATAATTGAACTCCTCAGCCTCGCCTATGAGGACCATAAAAGAGGATACATCAAAGCTCCACGCATACGATTGATTCTTCATTCCAGCAGAGCACCTTGTCAGGCAATGTCGTGGTTCCGAGGGCGAGAGATGAAGGATTTGTTGCACAGCATCTTGGTGGGACTGCCTTATAGCCATGAAGATTTTGGGCCACTACAAGGCAGACTTAAAGGCTGGAAATGGAAAAGAGTTACACAAACAAGAAAAATATGGGGATGTCTGGAGTTTGAGTGCGGCTTCCGAGAATTTCGCTCGGCGTAAAGATTACTCGGTGTGCATGGGCTGAGCCTGACCTGGCTATTAGGCATATCTCACCTTGCAGGTTGCTAAGCTTAAAATGGAATGATAAGCAACTACGTGGCAAACTAGATGAACGGGCAACAAAAACCATGCAGATGAGACGAGGGGAACAGGGAGAGAAGCGGCGTTACCTGGATATGAACAAGGAGATTAATAGAGCTAGCGATAATCGTTCGGCGGTTCCCACCTACAATTCGCCTAGCACGCCTTGTAGGTGAGGGATAGCGATACGCACAGAACAGCGATACGCAAATTTTTTACCCCACTTCCACACATCACTCCACCAAAATCACCAAAATGCCACCCGAACCACATGAAATCGAAGAGCGTATAGCGAAAGCCTCTCATGCAATGGATAATAATCCTTACCTGAAAGGTACGAAGGCTGCAAAGCAATTTGGGGCCCCATATGAACGTCTAATGGCTCGTTAACGTGGGCGTCCACCCAGCCACTCGCGAGGGGGGCAGAATAAAAAGCTCTCCGTACTACAAGACGATGCCCTAAAGGAGTATATTCTTATGCTCTAATATTCCGGCCGTGGGGCCAATATATACGAGATTCGTATAGCTACAGGAAGGCTCCTTTTTTGGAGCTCTGGGGATCCCAATTCGTTAGTATTAATTCGATGGACTAAAGCATGGATGGTCCGGCAAGCCGAATTCCTCAAATCAATACGAGAGAAGCCTTTATCCGCAAAGCAATTAGCTATACATATTATAGAGGATATCAAGGGGTATTTCCAGGAATTTGACCGATATAAGAGAAGATATAATATAGAGGATTACGATATATCTAACTTTGACGAGAGTGGGTTCCAAATTAGAGTCATTACCGGTGATCGAGTCTATGTTTCCCACGATTGCGAAGCTATATATAATACAGATCCAGAGAATCGAGAGCTTGTAATAGCAGTGGCTATAATTAATTATAGAGGAACCAAGGTGCCAGTAATAATTATTTTTAAGGGAGCATACTACTTGCGGGGATACTTCAAAAACCAGCTTGACGAGAATATACTTTTCGCGCGATCTCCTACAGGATTTACTAATTATTGGCTTGGAGTATGCTATATTAAGTATTTTGACAGATTCTGTCCCTTTTCTGGACCCGGCAGATATCGTATCTTGATTTTCGATGGCCACGGCTCTCATATTAGTCGTGAATTCCTAGACTATTATTGGAAGTATCGCATATGACTATTCAAGCTTCCTGCACATACCACTCACCTTCTCTAATTTCTTGATGTGGCCGTTTTCCAAGCTTTAAAGCATTGGTTCCAAGTCGAATTACGTCGAGAGATCTTTATGGGTACAGAGATAATAGATAAAAAGGCATTTTTTGCGATATTCTAGAGGTTTTGGGATAAGGTGTTTAATAGCCGCATGATCGCACGGAATTCCTTTAAGAAAACAGGGCTAATTCCTCTCGAACCAGAAGTGGTACTCTCAAAAATAAAGGAATATAAGCAACTTCAGAAGCAAACAAGACGACAAGCTCGTATACTATCTCCTCTAACCTCTCTAATTCGATAATCTTTACTAATTCTTCCCTCCTCTCCTCTCGTATTTGCTACCCCGCCATCCCGTACTTCTCCTCCTGCCGAGAATTGGGCTAATTGGGCCACGCCATTGACAATTCGCATACGAAAGAAGGGTATTATATATGTAAAGGAGCGAATAGAGGCAGTAATAAATAGTATACCAATTATACTATCTGTAAAGCATGTATAAGAAAAGGTTGAGGGTACAGCGGAGCGATCTATACTATCCGGTACTTTAGCAAAGCAAAGAGTCCATGATTTGAGCCTTGCAGAGCAAGAAAGGGAGAAGAGGAATAATAGGGATAATGGAAGGATTATTCAAAAGTATGGAGAGATTTATGTATATTAAGGGCGAGCAGATATTATAGCAGATGATGAGGATGAGGTCAAAGTAGTTAATATGCGGAACGCCTGATTAGCCAAACCATGGAGGAAAAAGTATTGACAGATAATGGTATTATTTCCAGAGGACTATTAGAAGGTAAAGGCTCAAATGCGCTATACTTTCCATGATTTATGAGAGTGATGCGTGGGGTTTAAGGCAAATAATGGTAGATTTTGGTAAAAAATTTGCGTATTACTGTTCTGTGCGTATCGCTATCCCTCACCTACAAGGCGTGCTAGGCGAATTGTAGGTGGGAACCGCCGAACGATTATCTACTGTACCGAAGATAACGGTATCAATCGCGAAACAAACGACAAGGACATCGAGGACGGCCGGCAAGGCAGCGGAAGCTGCACTCAGAACTTACCCACGCCTTGATGTGGTTAGTCAGCATTGTTGCTGCTACTGTATTGGTTGCTTGAATTTTCATTAGGCTGCCACTTCTGCAACGAGACAATGTGCCCATCTCACTTTGCTATCAGCCATGAATACCTTCAGAAGCTGGAGCGAGATCTACCCCAGCGGCTCCGATTTCAAGGCACACATTCTGGAGATACAGGAGTTTGCGACTCCCAGAGAGAGGTCGCTCCAATGGGCGCAGAACCTACGGTTTCTGACTCCGTTCGAACAGGCAAATCCTGATCGAGATGCCGACTGGAGTGACGATGAAGGACTATCGTGTCATCATTGCCGTGATTATCCATATTTCAACTCTCCGTATCCGCAACAACCAACAGTAACGGCGCTCCGCTTAACGCAACCAGGCGAGCTGAAAGGCTGTGATCATTACATTGCCGTGTCATACTGCTGGAGACAACCTAAAAGTCAGAATATCTCCGATAGTCCTGATGATCGATCGTACACAGTCTACACTAAACCGCCGAACAACACAAGAGATAGTCGGCCGAACAAAGCACCGAAATCGATTTTAGATAGGGCAATTGCATACGCTTCCTTCTATGGGATTCGTTTTATCTGGATCGACCAGGAATGTATCGACCAGGACAACCGACTGGATCAAGAAGTTGGAATACAGTCTATGGATTTGGTTTACGAGCGCTCTGCCGCGCCTGTAGGAATCCTACAGACCTTCCTAGATTCGCAATGGCAGCTCGATACATTATGGCATCTACATGAAAACAAGGATCTTGATTACGACCAAGTCAAGCGAGCAATACAGCTCCTCGAGCATATATCAGAAGATCCATGGTTTTCAAGAGCTTGGATACTACAAGAATCAACATCAGCTGGAGATTGTATAGATTTGTTGGTTAGATACGACTCGTCATTATCTATTCCTGAGTTCTGGGGGGTCGTTTCGGGAGAAATTGAACTTCAATTTGAGGAGCTTCTAAGACTACATCATTCTGCAGTTGAGCAGCTGTCTCGTCACCATTTCGGTTCCACTGCCCTTAGTGTCGCAGAGCACTTCGATCGCGTGAGCGATAAATTACTTCAGCATAGCGGTAACGTTGATGAGGTTGAGGATTATATCGGCGAAGGCGATAAAATGATGACACGTCTTGTAAAAGTCATGGAACGCATACTTCTTCACACCCCATCCGATTACTGGAACACGAGAATTCCATCGCATCGAACTGCTTGCAATGCTTCCTTGGCAAGCATGTACCTTAGCAACTGTTTTAACAGTAAACCAATGGATCGATCGGCTATACTGGCCAATATGTGTCAATATCCAATTCGCATTGATACAATTATGGCACAAAGCAACAAATATCCTTTAGAAACTTGCCTCTTCGTACAAGCAATCCTCAATGGGGATCTCTCTTTTCTAGTTGGAGTTAAAAAGGAAGCATGGAATGATTTGTGTTCCACGCGCGACGGCTTCTCCTGGCTACCACCACATATCACAAGCCTCGATCCAAAGCAATCCGAATCGTGGATAGAAGGAATCCAACCCTTTCGTTTGTTGAATCACCTGATTACTAAGGACGGTCTAAGCCTTTTAGGTTTCTTGTGGACGGTAGATGAAATGGTCGATGTAACAGACCTGCAAGCAAAGTTCTCACCACTGTTTGAAGAACTTTCTCGGTCTCAAACAAAAGAATGGGCAGAACTTGAGAACGAGATGGAGCAATGGACAGAATTTAAAGATGCAGGAATTCCAGTACCACGGTTCTCCAAGATGGAAGACTTGGTAACCACATCACAAAATTTGAGCCGATGGACAGACGAGCCTTTGTTCGAGAAGCTTTGCTGCGAACTCGTCTGGTCAATTCTTCAGAAACTCGTGGAACAAGGTCTCAATATGCTTGCGGATGCAATTTGGCAGTCTTTCAGAACAAAAGTCCGCCTCTTTACTTCCTCGGAATGGGTATCAATCAAAGAAAGATACGATAGTCAACAAAATGGGCCTACCACGATTGACGAGTGGATAGAAGAGAACGGTGAACTCGAAGCACGTACACTTCCAGATTCTTGTACACAAGCTCTGCAGCTTCATGATGACGCTCAGAACATTATGATAGTTCGTAAGCCTCATCCGTTCAGTGGCCGTAATGGGCATCAATACATGCCAATCAACCCATGGTTTGTTGAGCGAGTTTTAAATAAAGGCTACTTTTACTATGGACGATTGGCCGGCCAAGGAGGTGGACCTCTGTCTACTTTTGACGTGGACAAGCCTACGCAAGTCTTACTACCATACAGTACAGGAATGGACAAGTTTGATGTTGATTGGAATGGCAGATTACCCGCAATGCAAACGAAGAGAATTGCGTGGGTGGTGGAAGAGGTTTGTATGGGAGACACTGACAAAGGAAAGGGGGGGCAAAATGAACTCCGCAGCTTCGGATCTGAGGGAATGGTGGCAGGAATGTGGAAGCTAGGAGACACAGAACCCGGACGCTACAATCTTTGTTAATTTCATAAGTAAATTGACTAATCACACACTATTTGTTGCAAATCCATGAAGTACCTACTTGTCTATTAGTTTTCGTAAACTCGGCGGCTAGTCTTTGGACAGTATCAAATGGCACAACAAGTCTGGAACCGTACATTCAATTCTCGTTTGGGCTTTTTGGTAAACTTCACAGCTGTGAAACTTGGGACTTGACTGGGCTTAAAGGCGAGGACTGAATTAAGGGCCTGTTTAAAAAAGACCTAATAGCTATTTAATTATAGGCATTCTACCACAAGTCTTCTCTTAGACTAAGCAAGCAAGAACTTCTCCGGCAAAACATTATCAACGTTCCACATTCCTCTCGCCATTCCAGTGCTAACTAAAATGTTCCATTGTTCCAATCGCTGCTCTTTTGGCTTAACAACCCAAGACATACGCCCTAGCATGATCTTGTCCTTTGGAAAACCTCCCATATTCATACAATGCGGGGTCAAAATTGTATTGGGATCATCGACATTGAAAATTGCTCGTAGCTCACCAGTAGAACCCGAAGAAGTCTGCAAGCTTCCTGCGGCCAAGCATCCGTGTTGCATGACCGTAAATGCTATCCATTCATTGACAAGGAATGTTACTGGTGTATCGCGGATCACATCTTGAGGTACATATCCGACAATTTGACCCAAATCAAAGAGTCGTCTCAAATCCGCTTCTCCTGTGAAGAGTGGCTTTTTTCTGAAGACGATTTCCTCTGTCTCAGGATCATAGATATCCCTAAAAGAATTCGGAATTGGAAAATCTACTTCGTGAAGTTCAGGGTATTTGTCGTAGCTCGCATTCACGTACTGTGACCGAATATTGTGCCAGATTGCATCGGCAAGACAGTCTTGTTTGCGCTTGGAGAGAGTTTTGAGGATGTCAAAATAGATACCTACTCGGCCGCCTCTTATTCGTTCCACAGTCTGACGAGAATTCAGATCCTTATACTGGCCACCGTGCTTCTTCTGTATCTCGCGCAAGTCAATGGTATCGATTTTCCAGAGATACCCATGGAGCACTAAGCCATGCTTTGTAATCTCGTGACCAGTCATCCGACAGGAATTGGAGCTCTCATAGGTACAGTTGATTTTGGAAAGAATTGTCTGCGCCGGTGGCAGCCACGAGAATGCGTAAGGATACTCATCTGAAGCCCCCCCCATGGGACGGGACTGGCCTGACCACATTTCCTCTTGAATTCCAGCAAAGATAGACAGATCCCCATTGATCAAGGCCATGGTAAAAACTGCTACACTCAAGCTGAAGCGGGGGTGTTGGACCTTAGTGGTGTCGATTCGGAGAGAATAGTCGCAAAGATTTGCGAGTATGGCAAGGCGATCAGGAACTCGAGAATTTTTTCGACTTCCGAGGAATTGCAGTGCTTCTGCGATATTACATATCGGCCGTAGGCTTTGATTTTGCCGAATCAAAGCCTTTGTCTCTTGGCTTGAGGAACCCTTTCTAGTCCGTTCCAGTTGCGTTGCCTTGTACGCAGAAATTTTGAGAAGAGGAGCTAGATTTTGAAGCTTCGCTCTGCTAGCTATTAACCGTCGATGAAACTCCCTTGATTCCTCAAGGGAGCCCTCAATTGGCGGGTTCAGCAAGAGTGTGAGTACTAAATAGGCCCTAAGATGATGGGAATTAATGCAAATAACGCCATCTAATCTCCTCGCATCTCCTTGCCATCCTCGTCCTTTGGGGCATTTGAGAAGTAATACTAGATGAGCTCTAGCACAAGCTGCTTCTTAAAGAATCCAGGCTCGTATTAACCATCGGTCTAATTGTGATGCCCACATTGACGAGCGTCCAGCTGGATTTGGTAGCCTAATTAGGCTAGTGCTTATGTGGGATCGCACTCCCAAATTGGGACTAGTGCTTCCATACATCCAGCGGAATACTAGATTCTATATATGGAGGCATGCGAGCTTTGGAAATGGGCATCGATTAGTTTATTACTGAGAACCAGTTCTTGGAATTAATATACTTCCACGCTTCACTCCATACTTTACCCTATATTCCACCCCTTTACCTTGACTACTTGCGTAGCACCCTGCTATATTGGGAGCCTCACACTAATGCCAAAATCTCAAAAAGCCCAACTATATCCCATACTCTTGGGCTTAGCTCTTTTTCCTTATCCGATCCAACGGGAGGAAGATAGCCGTAATTATGTTAATACCTAGCTTCGCAGAGAGCATTCAGAGCCTCTATATATCGAGGCTCGTTAATAGATATAGATAAGATTCCAGCGGTAAACTTGGCCCGCTAAAATACCAAGTCCATTAATTAAATCCCTAGTTCTTTATCGGTTCGATCGTCTTAATTAATACATATTTAATCAATCCATATAAAATGGATATTATAATATATAGCAAAATGAATTGCACGATCAAGCACTTCATTAGGAGCCGTTACTGGCCTTGGTATGGATAACTGGGTATCGCTTACGGTATATTTTGGGAATTTTTCCTTTGTCTACCAATAATAGAAAACCGCAATATAGTCGGTAGTACTAGGAAACTCGCCCGGCTCTGTCAGCCAAAGATCATGCATCGACTCCGTATCAGGCATAGGAAACGGGAGATATTTGTTCATGCCTGGTTGCTCAACAGATTTCAGGGCTAGAAATCGTAGATTATTGGCCCATTTTCGAGTTAGAGCTTGGCCCAAAGTAAACTGTTGAATTTCAAGCACCTCCTTACCTATCGGAGCCTCCGCAGCAAGTCGAGGCTGACCGAATGGCCCATTGGTGTCTAAGCACATCTGTTCCACTAACTGAGACGCAGGCGGCCGGTAGACTAGATTGCTATCCTTATCGTACTCCACTGACTATACGTTAACATGTGCATGCCCTTCATTCTTGGGAGTTTGCGTGTCTAAAAATGTTCTATCGGACTTGGCAGCCTCGCCGATAGACGAGTTTGCAGGAGCACCACTCATAGCTGTGTACAGGCGGTTCGCTAAAATGGAGAGCTAGTAGGGAGCAAGTTTGTATTGTGACTGAAACTTAAAGAGAAGAAGTGAAGCTTGAAGGAAGCGAAACCGTAAGGGCTCGTAACGCACAGGCCAGCCCCTCACGTGCTCGGTAGGAGCGCCCTTCAAATAGAGTCGGGTATTGACCAGTAGCATCGTCGACAGGATCTCGCATATCAGGTATCAGGCAGACGCACTAGCTCCCTCGATCCAAATAATAGCCCAACAAGAGAATGATAATGCAGTCACTGCTCTTGAAGCAGAACCCTTCCAGAATTCTTGAGGCAGATCAGATGGCTCATAATTTCCAAAAAGATGTTCAAGGACAAAATTCCCCGATGACTGGCACCGCAGGAGAAGCACCCGACATTGCCAACCAAAACGCAATCAGATTGTCACAATGCTCAACCGTACCGCAATTGACAGCAGAGCTCTTTCCAGTATTTACAAACGCCAGGTCGCGTACCGGTGAACGAGCCAAGATGAAAAATGATATCTACAAAACATTTGGAGACATATACGACGACAACCCCGCCCGCCTCACTCACGATATCATCGAAATTGCAAAGCACACCGTCTCGCAGGAGAGTATGCACGCATGGGCTAGCAACCTACGCTTTCTCACTGCCGGGCCTCCTTCAAACTCCAGCAGCGCGTTGGCCGGAGAGGCTTCGAATGCTATTCCCTGTGCCTGCGAAGACTGGCCAGCATTTGAGGCAGATCATCATTATACGAAATTACACCTTACCGCTTATGGTCAGCTCAACACTTGTCCACACTACGTTGCAGTCTCATACTGCTGGCAGCACGCAAGTAGTAGCTCGGAAGTCAAAGACGGGCCTTACCCAGTATCTACGACCAGGGGAGTCAGACCCGGACGAGCGCCAGGAGATGTTGTAAAGCGCGCAGTCAACTTTGCAGCTTCTCGGGGCGTAAAGTTCATTTGGATTGACCAGGAGTGTATAGAGCAGGATGATCGGGAGGATAAAGAGCTCGGGGTGCAGTCCATGGATCTGGTTTACCAACGCTCATTCTACCCTCTCGGCCTTTTTGAGGTCAAAATCGAAAGGCAAAATCAAATGGATGCCATGGCACAGGCTATTGGGCGGCGGAATCGCGAGGGTGACGAAAAGGGCGTGGGACAAAGACTTGACGTCTTTTTTGAAAACCAAGAGCCTGTTACGGAAGAGGAACTGCGAAGTTTGACAGAGGTTTTCGAGCTCTTGGCTACTGACAGATGGCTGAGGCGGGCTTGGATTCTTCAAGAAACGGTGCTAGCTGGTCATCGAATGACTTTTATGATTCGATCCAACTCAGGAATCACAATCAGAAGTCCAATCAACCCGAGCGGCATCAAAGGCGAGATATGTTTGTCTATCTTCGACTTAAAAGGTCTCGATGGCGCGGGGACCGTTTATTCTGGACTGGAATTTACTATCAGCGACGAAACCAATGGATCTCATACGATACTATCAAGCTTGGTACGGATTGCAAAAGTGGTGACGCCTCGTTTGGTTGTAGGATGGAGGCTTTGGGATGCGTACAGTCATGCCAACAACGCCATTGGAGCAATAGTCCTACTCGAAACATATATGAATAGCCGAATTCCTGACCGGCTTGCTATCATTGCAAATCTTTGCAATTATCGCAAACGTCTAAGTACGACTGCATTGGATGAACTTGAGTTTGACTTCAGTGTATGTCTCCTTACCCTTGCTCTGCTTAACGGCGACTTTTCCATTTTGCGTTTATGGCACGAGATATCACATAACATAGAGTTTCCTGCCTTCAAATGGAAGAGGCAATCCGATCCACCTACACTGAAGCTTCTCAACAGCGATCAACATTGGAAAGCATTCTCCTGGGCGCCCTCTCCTACAGCTCGTATCGCACCACCAGACGTGTACTTATTCAAGGATGAATTCAGCCTAAGATTACGTTTATTTTCCGACCCAGCATTGCGACTGTCCGAGGCTAAAATTCGAACCACCGGCCTGCAATTTATGGGCTGGTTGTGGACTACCGACAATATTATCGATTTTGAGGATCTTATGTCGTACTATATCAATAGTTTCATCAATGCAGTCGACGATGCGCCAGATCTCAATTCGGGGTTTATGAGATGGACCGAAGGTGCTGGATTTATGTGGAAATTCTTCCAAGCCTTGGTCCAGCTTAAACTCTATGATCTAGCAGAACTCATATGGTCTCAAGCGGTAGTAGATCATTTGCATGTGGAAACCTCCTCCAATAAGAATGCCTCGAATGAAGCCCCCGTTAAGAAATTCCACCTCAAAGGCCTGAAATTTGAGGGAGGACGTCCTTTACTGAGCGATATGTTCGATTATGACTCCGGATTTTACATAGGCTATGAGTCTTGTTGGCATCTGAGCATTTTGGATTTCATTGCGATTATGAGGACTTTACTACGTCGTGAGCTTGAGTGGAATTGGATCATTCCGGAGATCATCGCCACAGGATCTCTTTGGTATGGAACACTTGAAACAAGTTCGGATACATGTTCCAGAGCAATCGGAGTGTTCGAGCCAATTGACAAAGGACACGTCCTGACGCCAGTTCTGAACACCGATATGAGAGCTGACATAACGAACATGTTTCTAAAATCTTATCGGCCAAGACCCCACTCATGGGGGGTTGAAAGGATAGGCGATGACGGTGATGGTTCTGTGTTGTGCCATGGTAACGGTATGATAAGAGGAATTTATAAGACGTATGGTGAAAAGAGTCAGAGATACACTTTGGATTGAAACCAGACTTTATTTTATTTTTACGGGACCATAAGAGTTTCTTTAGGCTATTTTCATCTAAAAGTACCTTGAGCCAGTTATGTTTCATTCTTGGTCATTTTACGATAGATACCATTTAGGCAAGGAGATAATACTCCTGGCTCCTTATCTTCGTTGTCCTCCCCCATCTACTACCTCCTGCATTGTAGCGGGATGTGTCGTCCGGTGGGCCGCGTACTTTGACGAGAGAGGCGACAGGAAGCGGCCCCCAATATTGCGTTGATGTCTCCTACGTTCCGAGTCCCAAAGGATTCATGGAACTACTAGTCGTGTGCTATCTGTGTTTTTGTTGCGGATCCGGGTGACATTTAATAGCAAGGAGCAGCAATTTCCACTAATTACTATCCACAATCAACCTGAACTCTAACATCATGCCTTCGTCTTTCCACTTTCATCTTTCCATCCACCCCCTCAATATAATCTGCACAAACCTCAGCTTCTTCAATTAGGCTTAAGCTTTTCTCGGAAACTATGTGTTTAATGTTCTTTTCTCTTTCGCATCTCCTATACACCTGTTTTGGGTCTGTGTTATAGTCCCTAATAATCTCATCCCGCTACGACCTCCACGCTTGAGTATAAGGCAGCAGTCTTGCTTCATTAACCCAATTACTATTACCGAACGTTTTTAGCAAGTATATATAAACGTGTGTCCTCGTCGGCACCTTAATATTCTCGATTATTTCTAGTTCTTTAAAGCACGCTCTTACGTTTAGCTTCTGCCCTAGTATTACATTCAGCTGACCTATAGTATTTAATAGAATAAATACTACCTAATCCTAGGTATTACTATTAGGAGTAACTATTAATACTAAGAGTAGTATTATAAGTGTCATAGAGTGCCCAAGCATCCTAGCGAGCACGTGCGTGCGCGTGGTCCGTGCGCAAGCCCATAAGGCTTCGCACCTCCCACGACTCACTTGCTTCTTCAAGTTTCAGTCACAATACTACTTTGGATTGCTCCCTGACTTGCTGCCCTTTTGGTGACCACTATTATACTAAGACTCCTAAGTCTTATATTTAAATAGGCTAGATACTACTCACCTATTCTTCTACTATAGGCCCTAGCCCGTCTACCTCGATATATCTTCCCTATTTCCTTATAAGACGAAGTATAAATTTCGTCTTCTAAGAATACATATTATATCCGGCTAACTAAGGTAGCTATTCTTAACGACTATTCGTTTAAGGTAATACTTTTTTACTAGTCTTAATATAATACTTTAAGTAATTAAAATAAAATATAATAAATAACCAATCTAGCTTATCTTATTAACTTTAGTAAATAAATATATAATTCTAGCAAATAATACCCAGCTCGATAATACTATAATATTTAACTTATTAATCTTCCTTTTATTCTTCCTAGTAGTAGGGATTTAGTAAACTTTATAAGTTCTATCTCGTACGGCTTTTAAGCAACTAATACTTTTTATAAGCCTTATATTTCGGAGCGGTATAGTCGTAAATTCTCGAGAAGAGAAATAATATAGACCTGTTAACTCTAATAGGGCGTAGTTAGAGCGTATGTATAATTATAAGCCTGCTATAGGGGCAGCGGTGAAATATTCGAGTAAGGATCGCTGCATAAGTCGATAATTAAATTCCTTAGCTTCACTCACAAGCACTATAAAAGATGAAACATCGAAGTTCCATCCCGAATATCGGTTCGCCATATCGGCAGGGCACACTTTTTGATAATATCTTGTTGCAATGATCTGGGGGAAGTGAAGCACATACTGTGCCGCCGCAGATAATCGATGTACATGTCTGCCCACCATGGCGAGGCTCTGAGCAGTGAGAGGGCAAGTAAGGCTATAGCACAAGGCGGATACTTGTTCAACGAGGCACCCAACGAGGCATTATTTCAATGGGTTGATATGCATGTGTGTGGCAAGAAAGTCATGAACGCTGACCTGCAACGTGTTGTACATAGCCGAGAGACCCCTCTGCTGATCGCCAAGCGCTAAGCGGGGTAATTTCTGACAGGGCGGACACGATGAAATCAGCCTTAGAAAGGCTCACGTCACAATCATTTACGCGCCAATTAAGACAACTCTCGGTGAGATATACCCTAATAACAATGAGCTTTTATATTATTTCGAATATAATGTTTTTATAGTGTTGAGTATTAAATTAAATAAATGAATTTCAAAATGAAGGCTTTTTCGAGTAAGCACGTTATATAACCCCCACGCCCCCACACCCTCGGTGTAATCTAGGACCTATGAAGCTTTACGGAAGCTCGTAGTTGCGCATACATTTCTGTATACAAGCTAAAATGGATCTTGATACCTATACAAATTTCGGAGATGTACGCGCAAGTACTAAAGAATTCACAGCTCAACTATTAGATGTGTGACCCGCACTATCCTGCGTGAGAACACCTAAGTCTGGACACGCAACTTGCGATTCTTGTGTATTCCCAAAGAGCTCGCTCTTCCTACCACTTCTAGTGACAAATTGACGAGTAAGTGCTAGAGTTGCAATATTAGCATCACGACTTTTCAATAAAGCAAACCAGCCGGAGCAAAAGAGACATACCAATACTGCCAAAAATAGAAACCCTTCTCAGATAGACCGCTAGAGTATCCATGGCTTACAGAATATGGAGAGCTACCCGACTGCGTGCATTATCTTGCAATATCTTACTGCTGGCAGAAGCCCACAAGTTAAACGCACATTAAGCTTTCCTACGACATCATGACCAAGAATGGCCTCAGAAAAGGAAGAGCGCCTCGAAATGCTGTTGATCGTGCCATGAAGTACGCCGCAGAATCATGCATTCGTCTTATTTGGATTGATCAAGAGTGCCTTGAACAGGATAATCGTACGGATAAGGAGAACGGTATCCAATCAATGGACTTGGTGTACAGTCGATCCTTGTACCCACTAGGACTGTTAAACTCTTGCATGACAGAGTAATCACAAGTCGATGCATTTGCACATGTCATGGGACAAGGAGAGAGGTATTTTTAGTGAGAATGTTCATCCTTCGTATGAAAATACATCTATCTCCCAGATAAACTAAATTATAGAAGCTCTGGAAATACTTTCAAAAGATCGATGATTTACCAGAACTTGGATCTTCCACGAAGAAACGCTCGCTGGTGAACGGATGGTCTTTCTAATTATATGCGCTCCTGGACTACAAGAACCTCGTCTAGTCACATTCGGGGGAGAAATTATACTGGTGGTCAATGACATCGAGAACTTCTCCACAGGCGGGGTACATTTCGTGCTCGACTGCCTATCAAGACTTGTGGCTCAGCCAGACTCCACTATCAAGAGTCGTCTTCTGCAGCTCAAAACCTTCTTGAAAGACCGTCTTTCAGTAGGATTCGAATCTTTAAGCCATCTCACCAACGCCGTTGCAGTCATCAATCTTTTCTCAGCATACGACAATAAGCGTGCATCAGATCGTCTGGCTATCATTGCCAACTTGTGCGAGTACCGAGTCAGATTGAATACCGTAGAATAGGAAAATGGGAGTTTCAGCTTTAGCACATGTTTTGTTGGCAATGACATTGCTGAACGGGAATATCTCATTGTTGCAATTTTGGCATGAACCCTCAAATCCAGCATCTCGACAGCGTACCCTTGGCGCCCTGGGCAAGGAGGCAAGAAGAGAAAAATTTGCGAGGGGCGGCTTTTCTTGGATGCCGTTGGTGAATGAATCGATACAACCTTGTCATCCGTTGATGGGAGAGTCACCAATGAGGGTTGTAGGCTGCAGTCTCGATTGCCGTGGTCTCCGCATGCAAGTTTAGTTGTGGTCCACAAACGGCAGTTCTCATATAATGTTCCCCAATTCCAACTCCAATTCCAAATGACGTCTAAGTCATTTAAATTAAAATGTGAATTAGCGACTTCAGTCTCGAGTCTGATTCGAGTTAAGTTAGAATTATGGCATGCTGTTCTCATAAAGATGTATACCCTCAGACTACATTAGCAACACCTCTTGAAATATCTTATCAGGTTTCTCCCATATCCCTTGAACTATCTGATTGCACGATAACACGGGACGACTTTCTGATTGTCCTTTCTCCATACTCACAATCCAAGACACCGGATTAACACGAGGTTGAACTGGCCCGGTAATTGTACAAGCCTCCTCCGTATAAGGAGTGAAAACCGAAGCTGGCTCCTCACAATGAAAAATCACCCTCGGAACGCAATTTGCCTCCTTTTCTTCTTGTAAGAGGTGCCCACAGTACAAGAATCCTTTCTCCATCACTTGATCGAAAAGCCAACTCAGGTGTGAAGGCGCATGCCAACAATCTTCAGCAACTTTCATAAACGAAGCTCGGACATCTGGATCGGATAGCTGGTCTAGGGACACTGGCCTTTTAGGACATTGATTATTGAGTTCGCTGGCATAATCAATGTCTCTGTCGTTATTGATTTCTTGAAGCCACTGAGGAGTCTCGCTGAAGCGGAACCATCGGTTGCCCCACTGCTTGTGCCATGTTGGGCGTGTGAGATGCCAAACAGCATCAGCTACTTCTGGGAGATCCAGTTCTGACAACTCTTCGAGTAGCTGGCACATGAAATCCGAGGAGAAGTTGTTCAGTTTCAAGATCTCGTGATCTTCATAGTACCGTAGAGGGTCATCGGGAACATAATTAGAGCCTGTAACGTAGTTCCAGTTGCAAGATTTCCATCGAGTCAGAAGATTGTTTCGAAGCTTCGAAAGATCAATACGGCTGTTGACGTTCCAAATCCAACCTGTAGTAAGCAAGCCTTCTGGACGAATCTCTGACATCTGGAGACGCATATTTGGGTCAAATCCGTTCGAATAGGAGGATGATTCCCAATTCCCTGCCATGGGAAAGCGAGAGAGCAGAGGTAGTGACCATGAGAAGTTGGAGCTGATGTCGTTCGTCGACTGTTGTCGGAGATATTTCCGCTGCGAGGCACTTATCGATGTCCACGATGAAGATGAACCACCATCTTTTGCAGGTGCCTCTCGCATTAGCTTTCGCGTCTCGGCATCCCGAAGAAAATCAATCAACAGGGACGTATCCCCGTTCAAGATGCTCAATGTGAGCAAAGAAACGGAAAAGCTCGTCATTTTCAGATTCAGTTCAGTCGTGTTTAGCCTTGTATGATACTGGCATAAATTGGCAATTATTGCCAATCTATCAGCCGGCCGAGAGTTCAGACGAAAATTCAGGTGGTACAATGCCTCAGCAGCGCTACATGCGAATCTCTTGGTTGAGAAATCATAAGTTTTGATCTGGGGGAACAGTGACGTGGCCCAAAATTGTATCTCTTCAATTTTCCGTAGAGTGTCCAAAAGCGGCCTTTGGGGAAACTGTCGTACACTGGCGAAGACCAACGTAGCCCATCTCTGGAGTCGGTCCATCGATGTTTTGATCTCCCCTGGAATTTGACCGCATACATCGGGCTTCTCCAGTCCTTCTGCATGACGGACAAGCAATGTCAGATTCAATGACAGGCACGATTCTTGAAATATCCAGGCGCGACTGAACCACCGATCCTGGCTGATGCGATATAGGAGAGCGACCGCAGCTTGTATTTCTGGTTCCGTCCCAAAGATCTGTCCCTCCATTAGCTTGGCGAGAATGTCCATTTCCGATTGAGTTTTGATAGTAACGTTCAACAGCCCAAGTGAAATCATAGCCTTGTGGTAAACCTGATCCATAGACTGAATTCCAAACTCTTTGTCCAAGCGATCATTTTGGTCGATGCATTCTTGATCGATCCAAATCAGGTTCATCGGCGCCGTATCCAACGCGAAGGAAATCGCTCGCGAGATGATCTTGGGGGGTGCCTTATTTGGACGATCTGCTGACACCGTCTTGACCAGATAACTGTCTTTTGAGCTCGAAGATTCTTCGAGATGATGTTCCCAGCAGTATGACACAGCAATATAGTGACGGCAGCTCCCAGCCTCATGTGGTTGCGTCAATCGCAGAACACGGTCTCCTGGCTGGAAGGAAGGCCATGCATTACAGACATTGCAGAGGCCGCCGGCTTGATCAGAATTGTCTGATGACAGGAAACGTAAGTGAGAAGCCCAGTGCTGGGTTTGGGCTCGGGATACTTGATGCTGCGCAGCGTCGAGGATTTGTTCCTTGAATGTCGCTCGTGGGAGATGTCCATCAGCGCCTAGGATTTCATCATATCTCTTTGTGACATCTAACTCCATACTTCGTCGAAGGTCCGATGTTTTGGTCCTTCTTCCAGTTTATAGTAGCAATTGATGGATGAATAGTAGCCTGCTGTGATCCTGCGGTACATGCCTTTAACTGTTGTTTCGCGCCAATCCTCACCTCGCTTTGGGAAAGTTTCCGAGAATTAATAGCCAGTTTATAGCCTCCAATATGAACGACCGACTGCAGCGTTAAGCTAATGTTTAATCTCTCGTCAGATAATATAATTTTATTCCTGAAAGACCGTTGAATGAGGTCAGCATTTCAGTGCCCCAGACCCCATTCGTCCCAGTTATTAAATTTTGTTAATTTTGGATTACGGAGACCAAGACGGTCACCAATTCTCCTTTATACGTAACGGTGTTCAGATATTCTGGGATTAAAAGAAATCTGATTAACGCTATGTTGGTTTAAACAGACCTTTGCTGCTGCTGCTGCTGCGCGGTAAGTCTCTTACGTTACGCGCGTAATCACATGGTTATATGTAATTAGACGTATGTAACCATGTATGTTTCATTATATATGCCCGTGGACGATGGCGGACGACTAAAGCCGATCACACCGGGGGTAGCTGTGGGGTTTAGCTGTGGCCCCCCCCCCAGCAAAATCA